CGAGGGTTGCGATCCCGTTGCCGGTCAGTAAAAAAGACAAAAAGGAAAAAAAAAAAAGTCCCACCTGCTTCAACGTGTCATCTGTGTACCCCAGCCAGGCGCATGACGTGGTGTAGGCAGGGTAGCCGCGTGCCAGCATCTGCTCTTCTGTGAAAACACAACGCTCATCAACGTACTGTACTTTCAGGGACATTCAGAATTAGAACTGCCCATAGCTAAGCTGCTCCCGTGGACAGCCCAGCTGTTCTCAAGGCCCTGCCCTTTGCACGCACCCAGCCTCCAGTCCAGCCCCTGGGATGTCAAACCTGGGTGATCAGGATGCCCTCTTGGGCTGCCCACTCCCCAAGGGCCCTCACCTATCCTACGGTGTGACCCTAAAGCCAAACTTCCTCTTCAGTGAAGTGAACCCTGCAGCCGGGGGCGTTCCCAGGAGGCTTCTTCACTGAGACTAAAACGTCTGTCTGTCTGAGGGCCCTGCTGCTAGGCACAGGGCATTTGGGAGGATGATGTGTGCCCCCACAAGATAGAGACACTCAAAAGTGCACAGTGATAGCAAAAACAACGAAGAAAATGTACTCACAACCCACCTCTTTCTTTTTTACCAACTTGACCTTTCTGCAGTATTTCTGGAAAAAATCAAAAGCATCACTCCCTCTTAGAGAACAGAGCCCGGCATGACCATGTGTGCACCTGGGCACGTACCCGAGAGCTTCCAGATCCCCACACAGCACGACTCACCATAGGCCTCCTGCTCAGTTAGAGCATCGGTGATGTACCTGAAATCGATGCAGGATAACAGTGTCCTGGGGTCCTGGCAGCGGGACAGGGGAGAATCAATGCATAGGCGGGTTGTGCTTCTAAGAAGCTGCTTACATGACAATGCAGCTGATCCTTTTGGGGAAGGGACCTTCGGGATTTGTGTTAAACTGGTCTGATTCTGTCATTCCTTGGTGTAGAGTCCTTCAGAGAAAGACTCATTGCTGCCCTGAGAATGTCCTCAGCCCCTCATGTTCTGACACCTTGTTCCCCCCACCTCCACCCTGTTCTTCTCAATTAACACGGCTGCCCCATAGGGGGACCTGGTACCACTCCACATCTGCTCCACGCCTCAGGGCTGCCTGCAGTGACTGTGTGGGAAGAGGGTGGCATTGGAGCAACTCAGCTGCACCGCCAGGCCACCCAGGGCAGCCCCAGGCTACCACTCACCAGCAGCATGACCTGGGCAATTTCCTCTGTCACCTGGGGATAATTGGCTTCACTGACAGCAAAAGAGGGGATGAAGCAAGGCGCACTGACCCCCTGGGTAACCACCGGCTGTGCTCCCCACACCCCGCTCTGCTCTTCCTGCCCTGGCCGCCCAGTGCTCCGGCCACGCAGGGAAGGGCCAAGTCTCGGCTGCGCCTCCTGCTGACGTCGCTCCCACCCACCAGAACAGTCGGTGGGAAAACAACCAGCACCTCTGTTCCCACTGATGTCTTAAGTGACCCACAACACTCCACTATGGCCGTTCAAAATCTTAGCTCTTTCATCACGAAGATTCTGCTTCTTGTAGGAGTACTGGCACTGAAACAGGGAACAGGATCCAAAAACTGGAAAGTCCACAGGTGGGATCCCAGGCGCCGTTCTGGCCACCCTCAAATCATTCTGTTTTGGTGGCCACCAACTACACCCCTGTGAAAGGCTGATCTCGAGCCTGGAAAGTGGTTCAGGAGGTCCACGTCCTTCCCCTTCAGATGGCCCCTATGTCGCCTGCAGCCACGCTGAGAGATGATGTGACAGCCTCTGGCCTTCACTTTCCTCTAGAGGGGGAGCAAAGTGCACTGGCCCAATAGTCTTCAAGGTCATGGT